ACACTCTCAGACTTTCCTCAGGGGAGCTTTCCTAATAGTGCCAAGAGCTTACCTCAACCACAGCCCCTTCCATGGTAATTATGATAATGTGTTTGCTTTTCTACCTCCCTCACTAGGCAGTGAGCTTCTTCAGGGGAGAGACCTTTTCCTTCCTTGCCTTTGGAGACTTAACGCCTAGCAAAGGGTAGCATATCCTGTAACTGACAGGCGCTTAAATTTGTGTTGAATAAATGTTAATGAACCGCCTTTCTCTTAAAGCTGATGCTGTTTAGTCTGATTAATCGCATACATTTTTGCTTGTCCTTTAAAAGGAAAAAAAGAACAAATGAATGTTACTTCAAAAGTTGGTAATCTCAAATATGGTCAAGAAAAATCATGTGAGGACATTTTCCAAATAAGCAGGTACAATCCTTTCTGAAGAGTTCCAACACTATTAAGCATTATTCTGATAGGTAACTATTATAAATTCAACTCTAGGTGGAAAATTTATTTTCTGTATTATTTATTACAAGCTTAGTGTAGCCTATATTATTTACTCTTTCAAAAAGATTATGCTATTTCCGGTAAGCACTCCCAAAGTCAAGAAACAAGAAAAGTCACAAAGTATAGTATTACCTGCTAATTCCAAAAAGTAAATTCAAAATTTACTGAAAAAATTTTATACTTATTTTAATGGTCTGGTTGATAAAGAGGAATGTAATAATGATAATTATACTTGAAGGCCAAGAGAATATTTAGGGGGAAAAAGCCCCACATATTAAGGGTATGCTGTAAAAATGTGCTCCATATTTATTTCTTTTAATCTATAGTAAATTTAATCCAAAGTCTGACTTAATTTTTTTGATTGATTGATTGATTGACTGATTGTTAGAGACAGGGTCTTGGTCTCACTCTGTCACCCAGACTAGAGTTCAGTGGCATCATTGTATCTCACTGCCTTGAACTCCTGGGCTCCAGGGATCCTCCTCAGCCTCCCAAGTAGCTGAGACTATAAGCTAACACCTGTTTATCAACATCAATTTACATCTCCTGGTATCACCCATCCTCCAAACATTTATTACACAAATGTAGTTTTTTAAAAAAGCATTTTAAATTTTAATCACATTCAAAAACTTCTTTAGAGGATCTCTTTAAAAAATGTTTATAGAGCAAATACATCACTATGCCAAAAAAAGCTCTCCTAGGGAAGCTCCCTGGGACTGGTCTTCTGGATCCTCCTATACCAAGTTGAAGACCTACACCTCAAGATACTTTAACCAGACTGGTGTATAAAAACACCCTAAGAAGCCTTGCACTGCTTTTTAAAAACCAGTGCGATAACAAATGTTCGGGACTATTGCAGAAGGGCATGAGTGGACAAGGCCAAACACAACAAAACATGAAGACAGCATTTGGGGCTCACGCAGCTGCTGCAGCATGTCAGAAGGAGACTGGATAGAGAGAGGGGGGCTTGGATAAGTTTAGAGATTAAATATGGCATCTTTATGTAAGGACTTACTTTTAAGTAAGTAAGAGAAGCCACAACAGATACATAAATTTCCCCAAATGTTACAACAGTGCTTTTCCACTAGAAATACACAACTTTCAATTGAAGTGGTCAAAATATAATTTGTCCTCCATTTCTAATGATTCGTGCTTTCCTAATATTTAACACAATATGCTCAAAATATGTTCCTCCTTCCATGAGTATACACAAAACTTGGTTCAAAACAAATCCTACAGTGACAAAAATAGTATGCTGAAAATACAGCTACTGTGAATCAGCAAGGGGTCCATGATAATACATTAAGTGTAAGTGTGTTAAGAACATCTATGTATTTCTGCAGCTTCACTTAACTCACAAGTATTTGAAAAACTCATCTGTACCACAAACTACAGCAGCTGACGTCTATTATTAGGGATATAAACAAGGCTAGAATGTCACTCACTGTAGATCCTTTCAAAGAAGATAATCACAAAAACAGTTATATTGGGCATTGAACTAGTTATATGAGGCTTTGAAACTAATAAAGCTACGCTGACTTACTGTGAGTTTTTAAGGGATGCTGGAATAACACATTAAGTCATTTATCTGATGTCACAAAATTTGAAATTAAAATAGACTCATCTGATGCTATGAATGAGAAGAATTTTAGGACCAAATAAGACATTTGTTTTGCAGTTTGAGTTTTTAAGGATAGACTTTGCTTTGAGATCTGAATTTGCATTTTAAAATGTGTTTTTTTCTTGAACCGTTTTAACTTTCTAAAGTGATTTGAGAGTTTGCCCTGCAATTTTACATACTTTCTCATGCTTCATCTCTTACAGCATATCTATTTTAAAAGTAGAAGAATACTAAAGAAAAGTAAAAACTTTTTTTTATGCTATGACTGTAGTAAACTCTTTACCGTTTTATTAAAGCTATTATTGATTTTGCAAAAAACTATGCAGGTATTTCAAAATGGGTGCTCTTTCTCAGTTCATTTTGTATGTAAGCAAATATATCAAATAAATAATTTGGCCAATTAGCTCAGGATTGTCTCTGAACAGTTAATTTTTAAAAGAATGAACACTACCTCCAGAAAGTTACCAAGAGCTTACTTTGTTCTGTTCTACTGTAATGTCACTTTAGGTTAATTTATAGAACTAGGACAGTAATCTCTCGGGTGCTAGAATAACAGTACCTTCAGTATATACAGTCCTTTGCTCCATGTACTTTCACTATATACATAGGGATGTGTAATTATACATATATGTAGTATATATTCTAGTATGCCAAATTATGATATATACATAAAATAATATAAAATATGAGATACATGAACTATATCAGACCTAGATGATACTAAAAGGATATCATTACAATGTTAAGACTTTCCTAACATATAAATAGGGATCTTTTCTGATTTCATATCATGTTTACCACATGGAATCACTAACTGTGAAATACGCTGGGAGTTTTCAAAATGTGTTCTGCAGAGCCCAAGGGGATGAAAGAGCAGCCAAGGCAGCTCAGGAGGCAGGACTCAGAGCTCAGTACCCTTACCCAACTTTACTGCCTCCACATTCATTTGGGACCTCAAGACATAAAACTGTTAGGTTTGGGGTTAAAAAGTAGAGATTTGCTCCTAACATGCATTAATTACACGAAAATAGGGAAAGCGCCAGTTTAACATTAAAAAATATATTTCAAAGAGTTCGTGACACTTGTGTCTCAATCCTTCAGCGATCTGTGAACCAATTATAAATCTATACATGTCCGAACATACTTTTGCATATTGTAAACAAAAGAAGAGTAATAATGTCTAAAATATATTTAGAGACAATGAAGATAACGATATGCAAAAGGAAATATTATCTAATTTTAAAAAGCCTATGATGCTCATACCCATTCTAAAATAACCACCCCTGATTCTGGCCCTGCTGCCGGGGCAGCCTTGGTGGCCACTGGTATTACACACGACCATCTTTATGGCTGTGGGACAAAGGTGGGCATTTGGCCCAACAGCAGCCACTCTACGGGCTTTCCTATAATGTACCATGTGGCCTGGTGCGAAAGGACAAGTTAGACCAATGAGATAACCTCTGCAATCTGAAGGGAGTAGATAACAAACGAGGCCATGCGAAGCTGACACGGAAGCTGCCAGAGCACACAAAACAGAGCCTGGGGCAGAATTGAGGCCACAGAAGGGCACTGTAGGCCAAAGCGCTCAGAAAGCAGAACCCATTTAAGGCAGAGGATACAAAGTAGAAGAAAACAGAAGAGAAGGAGAATATGAAAGAGAACAAAGCAGACAGACTTCCCATGAAACAGAAATGCAAGGAAAGAGCAGGACAGAGCAACAGTCCCCCAGAACGGCCTCAGTTCCCAATAACCTTGTTTTGGCACAGGTGCATCCTTCCTTCTTGCCTTAACAAACAAAACCGAATCCTTTTTCTTAAGATACTCTGAGTCTCAGTCTCTGTTCCCCGCAATGGAAACATAATTAGAACTAATATTAATGAGCCCAGAGTTAATGAGAAATTTACACAAACATTAGGTATTCTTAAAAAGCTACATATAGCATGAGGCTTTTTAATGTGCTGAAATCCCATGCAGTAAGCCAGAAACTGTACCACTCAACACACTTATGCTAACACATGTGGTGGTCAAGATGAAGCTACACTAACAGCATGCTGCAACACATCAAGTGGTCTGTGTTTTAAACCACTTAAACCAAAATTTTAAAAACCTGGGCATATATTACCCAATTTGGTCGAAAATTTTCTTTTACACAGTTCTTAACAAAACATGCTACCTTAGAATTTAATGTTACTTATGAAGGCCAGTATGAAAGAAAAGACTAGAAGCATTCACATATACCCCAGCAAAGGCAGAGTAATTTTTAAAAAGTTGTTATACAGAAAGAATGGAAAGATTATACAACTTCACTGTTCTTAAATAATTATGTCAACTACATAGCAATAATCTTGTCTGATTTGATATTATGTACTCTGGAGGTTGCTAAATAGTGGTTGAAAGCCATTATCTAGCATTGCAGAAGTACAAAGTTTTTTCAAAAAATAATTAAATTAGTTGATAGAATTTTAAAAACCAAGCGATATTACATATGAGATCTGACATTTCTGGCTTCTTGATACACTAGAAATTTTTCTGTATGGGTGCGTATTTTCACAAGTCAAAAAAGGAATATGGCTAAGTAGCAGTCAGTTACTCCATTTAGATGAGGCAAGGGCATTCCAGTTTCTTCTAATTCTCCCCAGTTGCCTGCCAATCTCTGTGGGCATTTTAGTTCATAACCTCTGCTCTACAGAGAGGAGATTTATAATCTCACATGGGCATCAACATATAACTAGTAGTTTATAAATAGCAGTACTGCTTTGGTTAAATGAAGTGATGGTTAAGGTAATGTGAAATAGTTCAAAAGTTGGTCCCAATTCTGTTTTGGATTTAACAACAGTTAAATACATATCTAACTTGGCACCCCACTGATCCTTTTACTTTTCCATGCTCTCCCTACCTTTTCTGTCTGGCTTGAGGTTCCTATCCACAGGTGGTGGTTCACAGTCTGCAACAGGAACTGGCCTTCTGGGAGGGGTCTTTGGGCTAGACCTGAAGCCCATATGAGCAGGAGGAGGAACTTGCATTCCAAATGAAGAAAAATCAAATGTTCCTGGAGTCATTGGCACGTAATTTGCTTCCTGAATTGGTTCTGTAAAACTGCTGGAATGTTGTCGTGGTGGTGAGTTGGGATTCATCGGGACGTAATTTTCATCCAGTTCTTCACTTGATACACTTCCCACTGTCAACACATTTTTGGTTTTCTAAAACACACATATATTTCTTTTAATAAACAAAAACTACTGTCAAATGTGAAAACACAATTGTAAGTCACACCCATTCATTTTATGATCTCATTTTGTCTCAGGGTACTAAGTATAAAGACTGTGATAATGAAATACACTCAATGATGTCAAGCATACTTACAAAGTGGTTATGGAAGCCTTCAAGTGAACTAGATCTATCACTTGGAAATGTTCGTGGAATATCATAGCAGTCTTGAGAACTAGCATCTAAAACAAAGAACAAACTATCAACATTTCTTCCTATCTTTGCCAGCTCTCAGAGTAATCAGGAATGACCTATTCTTCCTGTACACAAGCATGCATGTGCACACACAAACACACACACACACACACTCACACACAGATGTTAAAAACGATGCTCACGGAATAATGTCTTGAATTGGCATATTAAACCACTAGAAAATGCAGACACTCACTTATATGCTAACCAATACCAGTATCTAATTATGAGAGTGAGTAAATGTCTAAGGCTGGGATGAGATGGCTTCTGTAAAAATGAAGAAGAGAAATACTTCTATTTTCTCATCTTTTGTACCACCTTAGGCCTAATTTACATCTTATTAGCTTATAGTCAGGTTACACAGTCACTTAAAGAAATTCTTTTGAAGGATTAAGTAAGTACTGATGTAAGTACTATCCACAATACCTTAAATTTTTGTCTTTAACATAGCTGGAAAACTCTACCACAAAATACAGAGATGTTAGCACATCGTGTTTAAGGTATGTTCATTAAAATCTTGCACTTTGTGTTTTTAGGACTTTGAGCATCTCAGAGAATAACCCAGACCCATTTTTTCTCCTCTCAAAGTCTGTAACTTTTGGGTGCAGGCTCTAGGAGATGGTATTAAAGAAGCATACTCACTAGCAATAAGAAGTGGCTAGTGATAAGGGGAGAAAAGATTCAGCTTCTAAAAACTAAATAAAATCAAACAAAAAGTATAATGGCTTGATTGGAAGAGAATATCACCTGTTAGACACAAAGTAAAAATTGCTTATATAGGAAGGAAGGAAACAGAGTCCAACAGATGTGACTTAGAAGCAGCCATAATGGCACACAAATACAGGAAAGGCTCTGACTCGGAGAGGCTTTGTGGCTGGTCCATTTCCTGCTCCTCTGCCCAACAGAGAAGCTATCCACCCAGGATTACAGAGAGTAGGAAAGAGAGGGGCATACTTCCTGAAGCAGGAAGGCATTACTAACGCCATACTTCTTCAGGGATAAAAAAACTCCAACTCTTTCTCCCTTCCAACAGAGCACAAATGCACACATGTGTGAACACACATGCACGCGTATACACCCTTCCAGGGATCTACTGAGACTCTGATATCTTGGTTACATGAGCAGGTAACTGCAGAGCTGAAGCAAAAAAAAAAAAAAAAAGGACTATTTTTTTACAGCATAGTATATTTACCATATATTCAGAAAAACAGATTTTCTACCATTGCCCTCTAACAGAGTAGAAGCCAACTGGAGCTGACCTTTTCGCAGTTTGTTCAGATCCACAATGGAAATGGTGTTACTCCGCGACGGCGGCATCCCAGCTGTGGGGACACAGTGACTATTGTCATCTGAGGCCGTGCGCGGGACACTACACGTTTCCACAGGAGACCGGTCGTGAGCTAGGTGTGGTTTCGGTGGCCGAGGTGGAGGGACATCTGGAATAGCGTCCAGCTTTGACGTCTGTCCCAAGGTCCCCTCTGGAAATGTTCGTGGGATCTGGTAAGTATTACCGGGTGTTGGAGGAATGTCATAACTGATAGACACGTGCCTCATTTGAGTCTCTACACTTGATGTCCCAGATGGGGTATTAAAAACATAGAGTTCTCCATCTGCTTCGGTACTTGATGGAGACACCTTTGGTAAAACATCGTGGGAATAGCTCCTGGGCAGGTAATAGAGGCTGGAGTCGACAGAAACAGACACAGCGCGTGAAGGTGGAGAGTCATACATCATTTGCTGCTGAAAAAAGCCATTCACTCCGTGTTTGCTCTGGGAGGAAGCAGGATTTTTATGAGAAGGAACGTTGTCATTGCAGTCTGTTTCAGAAGACGTGGATTTTGCAGAATCAGCATGTGTTCTAAATAAAAATTGTTAACGACAGAATAAACATGGTGAAGATATAAGAATACATTTTTAATAAATATTTTTATAGCTTAGCAATCAAAAGATAGGGGCTTTTTTCATTCGATTTTTTTTTGCATGATCCATGAGATTTAAAGCACAAATATTCTTTAGTTTTTATGATTATACACCAGACAACAAAGCCACCACCACAAAACCACCAAAAGCATTCTCCCTAATTCCTGCCCTGTACCTGCCCACACCCCCAACTCCACCTATTAAATTTACACATAAGACCACAATCCCTTAAGCACTGGAATTAGATATCACAAAGCTCTGGGAAAGGTAAATGATTAATGTATAGACACAAGGAAAAGCATTTTCTTGAAGAACATGCAAAAAGTACAGTTTATAAAGTCGATCCACTGTTCTTAAACTTTCCTGTGGCAAATTTGTTGTTCTGTAAAATTGAAAGTCTAGTGATTACCTGGTATTGAATACATTCAATGTGCCCTACAAGTAGGTAACAACTTAAGAGGTTTCATGTATCTTCCCTTCCACTAATTTTCTTTAACAAACATTTAGCCAACACTATAAAGAGGATCAACATACAAGACACCGAGTTAACCAACTCCAAATAATAATTAACCTTGAGAAACCTCATTAAAGTATATTTTATGCTTTGGGTTAACATTTGCAGCCTCTGCTTTTTGAGGTATCAGAAATGTGGAGTACAAGACAATCACACACACACTTCCTTAATGCTAAATAAGATATATGAACTTCCTATGCATGTTGTCCAAAGTTGTATAGGAATTTAAACATTCCTCTAAATAACTTATGATAGTTTTTTAAAAAGAGCTTATCTTCCCTGATTTGTTAGTAACCCCTGGCACTATATACTGTATTGCATTTACTCATCGAAACTCTCCCCCTTTGGTGTCAGAGAACCCATATTGTGAAGGATTCTTCCTTCTCCCTCACTGATTTTTCCCTTGTTTCACTGACTGGTTCCTTTTTCTGTCTCTCCACGTGGGAATGGCTAACAGAGTTCAGTCCTCTAACCTTTTACCACACATGCCACTAGTGAATCCTTTTTCATTATCACCTTCCTCTTTGAATGCTAACAACTCTGTCTTCCCACCAAATTCTAAGTCTCATATTGGTCAAACTGGTATTTCTACTTGGTTACCGCAGTATTACCTTGCTTATGTGCCCCAAACCAAATCCAATTTACTTCTCAAATTGATTGCTCTTCCTGACTTGCACCGAAAGAAATGACTTTATCCAGATTCTCCAGGCTCAAAATCCAATTAGCTTGATTCTTTCTCTTTGATCCCCATAATCAAGCCTGTACTGAATCCGTCTTACCTGCCCACCTGTTCCCCTGATCTATTCCCACTGCCACCACCCCAAGTCCATGTCCCTGCTGAGACTCTCCTAACTCAACTCTCCCTACTGGAATTTCCTCTAGTTTCTCCTTCTCCCAATCTATTCATGGAACCAGACTGCTACATTGCTCTGCTCAAGAGCGATATTTTCAAAGCATGGTTTTTCTATCACTCACCTACTCAGAGAAAAATCTATTAAGGGTCCCTACAGGCTGTGGGAACTATTAGGCCACAAAGTGATCCACAGAGCATTTAGGTTACTAATAGCCTGGCTCCACCTTCAATGTCCCATCTCTTGTCCTGCCACTCCCCAAGTTGAACCTTTTCCTCCTAGAGGCTCCCTCCTTCCTCATTATCTTCCTTCACCACCCTCATTCTCACCTCTCCTAACTCTCATGCTGTTTTTGTACAAATTACTAATCATATTCTCCTCTTCTCTCACAGCTAAGTCCAGTTCAAACCCTACTCTTCCTATAAATAGCTCCTGTTTTCTCCATCTTTAAAACACGTGCACTGTCCCTTTGTAGAATTTCTAATGCACCTACACATATTCTAAAATTTGCACTTTATTTAATTCAAATGCAGAGTTAAGAGGGGTGAGAGGTATAAGGATTAATAAATAAACTCCCTGCTCTGATCAGCTTATAGTTTAGTGAATAATAAGTAAAAATATCAATCTATTTCCAATGCTGTGATAAAACCAGATATGGTGACATACTCAGGATGCCATAAAAACCCCAAAAGACATTTAATCCAACCTGGGAGTTTGGGGCAATGCTTGCTAGAAGAGCACATGTCTGAGCTCTTGCAGGAGAAATAAAAGTTTACAAGGTAACTTTCATATATTATCTTCATCTGTAATACTTAATGCTCGCACATCTTTATTTCTTAACAAGCCTTACTTGTAAACTCCAAAGGTGACTATTTATAATTAGTTTATATCTTCAGAACACACAGCATAATAGTGGGCACAAACATGAATATTTGTTATTTAACTGTTCAAATTGTTACGAAAATATAGATGGGCAATGATTTTGAACCTAATTTGCAGTGCAGTAAGAAAGCTGTGATGCCAGTGAAATCAATGGAAGACACTATGTAAAAAGAAAGTGTACTGAAAACTGCCACTTAGCTGTTGGATTTTGAAAAGCTGCTACTCAAAAATAATTGTGAATCTTCATAAAATAAAAATCTTAGTTAGTAGCATAGGTAGCAAAGTTGCGAGTGTGTAATTTTAAATACTCACAGCAAACAAGCAAAATCAAGTTAGAATTTGGTATTATTAATGAGTGTTGACTTATAAGATTTTTTTTGCTCTTACAGGTAAAATCCCATTACAACAAATATATAGAAACCCATCTTTGAAATGTGTGTGAGCTGTTCCTATCACCTCAGGGCATGTTTTACAGAAATTGTTTTGCGGATCTTAACAAATTCTATATAAAAATTTTTTTTGAACAAACGCATGTCTGATCCTAGCCCAGTAACAATCACTTTCCACACAGAAAAAAGCTTTTTGTCATAAAAGTAATAACGCTCAATATCTTATAATCTTGTTTAAGATATATCTTTCATGTCCACTATGCAATTCACCCTCACTTTTACACTGTAAATAAATATGCCCAATTGACAGATGACATCACTAATTGTCACATAGCTGTTAATGGCAAAGACTGGCCTCTCCATCATCATTTCCCTATTTTTTTTTTAAATAGTGAAACAACTGCCCTCTATCTCCCTCTGTCACCTTAAGCCTCCAAATACTTCCAAATGACAAGGAAAATCAAATTAAAATATCTTCTACCTTAGAAGAAGAGAGGTGTAGAAGCAGGGAACTCAAAATATTTGGGAAAGGCTTCATGACCCCTCTGGTCAAGTACTGTACCCCATATACTTCCATTTAAAATTGTATACAGAAAAGGCTTGGGGTAAGCTCTATTTCATTGCTATGAAAATTTAAATTCTTCATAGTTTTTAGCAATATATTTACTTCATTAAATTTAATTAAAACCCAATTTATATATTCCAAGGAATTTGCTATATTGGGATTTTACCTGTATGATTAATTTCTCACACAGATCCAAAACAACCACAACACACTCACTGCAATGGAATCGTTTTGCTTTCAAAATCTTCTAGTAGTAGGTATTCCTCTCCTTCTTCAGAAACAAAAGATGACCCTTGGCTGGTTTACAATCACATAAGAAATGGAGCAAGATCACCATTTATAAATCAGTGAAATCTGTTAAGCAAGTAATACTGTGAGTCTGTAACAAAGACTATAAAACAGCAGACAGATTTCCAAAAGGGCCTTGTGGGTACAACTGTCCTTAGCCAAAGATGGCAGAGACTGTGTTTCTTCAATAAAGATCTCCTCAATATCAGAAATCATTAGTAGTGGAATATACACTTGAACTGTAAGCCTGAAACATATGTCTGTATAGATGGTTTCTTTTAAGCCTGCAAGTCAAGGTTAAAAAACTTTAAAGGTAAGAGTCTTAAACGTGTATACACACACACACACACACACACACACACGCACGCACGCACGCACGCACAAGCGCACGCACAAGCACACGCACAAGCACACGCACGCACACGCACTCCACACACAGGCATATATTACACAATTCACCTGGTGGGTTCAGGCTTCTTGCTTTGACAGTTGATTAGCAAGAGGTAGTCTTGAGGATCCTCCTGGAGGCCGAGAGCGTCCAGGTGTGGCGGGACACTGATGAGCTGATACGGAGGAGGTAGAGCAGCGGAGGAGGACGCATCCACCTGGGTGGATGGTGCTGCTGCATTTACAGCTGACGGTAAATCTGATGGTGCTTGTAAGGAGCTGCCAGGTGGCTTCACAGGATCTGCAACACCAAAGTTTAACCATTACTGTCTGTCACATTTTAAGATTTTTTTTTTTTAAAAACAAAGCTACTTTAAAGTTTGCAGATAAATTGTTTCAATGCACAAGAACAGAATAAATCTCGACAAGGTCAGGTAAAACAAGCACTGCCTAAATGGCAGCATTTGCAAGGGAGTAATTGGTTCTCATCAAAGAGCTCTAAAGAGCAGGACTCTCTCTCTATTCCAGAAGCTCTATATATAAAAAAAAAAAAAAGCCATAGTTAACCTTGCCTTGAACCGTCTTTAGTTTTGAGGCTGCTGGGAATGAAGGTGTTCTTACCATCTTAGCAGAAAAGACTGGTTTTTTTTCCCCGATGACAATAAACAAAGTGCTTCCTAAGCCAAGCCAACCTTCCAAGGAGACCCATTTCATTACATGGCACTCACAGGCCCACAGCACTGTAAGTACCAGGGTCTCTTTATGCAATGTTTATTTTGATGTTCATTCTTTTCCTTTTGCTTCTTTGCAGACTAGGGAGAAATATTTCTACTTCTGGGACTGGTGAAAATAAATTCTATTCATGTTCAGGGAAAGAGCTTCTTTAAGGCATCATCTCTTCACTAAGCTCATAGCCTCATCTGCCTCATTGGTGGGTTTCTGGGTTATTTTCATGAAAAGGGGTCAGCAAGAAAAGAAGTAATTGATTAAGTCCTTACCTATGTTCTGAGAGGACATATAAACTTAGCTAAATTGTACAGAAAAATGAATTTGAAACCATTTTGAAATCCTAGAAATAAAACCCCACCATAATCACTGACATAACAAAATATAATTATAAAGAACCAGAAGAAAATGCTCTGTTAGTCTGGTTAGGAATGAAGGCAAGGCTATATAAATCATCCAGAAAAAGGCAAATGCTCATATGTGAATAAAAATAATTTGTTTGTTGTCCATTTATATTAGAACAGAAAAAGCTGTGTTGAAACAGATTTTTCATAAGAAAACATTACATAAAAGATGCCAAAAAGTGGTAAGGGAATTAACATGTCCTACCAAATAGACTCAAATGAGGTCATCTGGCCTGTTAACTTACCAGAGGGGGCTACATATCAGCTCTGTCTTCTCTAAATACTTAGAATAAATCCACATGCTTTTGATAATGTCTTTATGTATTTAGCTGTAATATTCATATATGCACCACAGTCAATTTTACTTTGCTCATTTTACAACTCTTCCTCCTAGGCCTACAAGGTCATATCCTAATTATGAAGACTGAATAGCACATTAGTATGGCTAAATATATCTCTAATTGTAGGTCCCAATAACAAAAACAAAAAAGGATCAGAACTCCTATGCTTCACTGTGCCTTACATGTAGTAGATGCTGAAAAAAAAAGTTTCATTCACAGGGTAGAAACTCACTGAGCACTTTCTCTATGTCAAGTTGGAAGAGATTAAAAGCAAGGGGCATTTCCAAATCTGTAAGACCCATGCACCTGCATGCGCAATTTGAGATTTGCACCTCCAGAACTCTGTGAGCCCTCCCAGATGCGAATTAAGTTTGAAAACTTTCCATTAGAGAATAGGACCTGAGGAAATGCAAGTTGAGCTAACTTCTAACTTTTTACCTTTGCTATGCTTCAAGCAATGCCAAGTCTTTACACAGGCTCATCTAACAAAACCTAACGCCTTATGCCAGGTGTGAATTCATTTTTTCTTTCTTATTTATGGAAAGTGAGAATAGAAAATGGTGAGAACAGAAAAATGAATTTCTGGATATTTATACAGCATAATGCCATTATTTTAGAGGTTGCTTATAAATACGTGTTGTCATGTTAATAGATGTTGATTATAAAATGATGTCTATAACATACCCTATGAAGTATTTTACTTTCAGTTGCAAATACATAGAGATTTATTTAAAAGGATTTATAGTGACTCACAGTAAATCCTTGTGGGTTTCAGAGACTATGAAAAATATTTTACCTTTTAAAGAAGAGCTTAAGAAAAATACATACAACATCAAGGAGGGAGAGAAAAGAGGGATCAAAAAGCTGTTCATGTATCCTACAAGCTGTATTCACAAGTATGTTTTATATACTTCTCTTTCCTCTGCTGTAGAGGTATAACAAAATTGAATAAACCAGTTCAATTTTTAGTTCTCACCCAAAACAAAATAAAATACTGGAAATACTGTACTATATGAAATAGTATGAATTCTAGCTTTGCACTATAACTCCTAAAATAACTTTTCCAGGTGGTTGTTTTATAGATACACTTTTCCTTTAATACTTTTTCTAAACTTGATGGCTATACACTAAATGAATTGAGTGATTCATCTTAAGTGGGAAAAGAAAATCGCCCAGCCAGGCAATCATGTTTGCCTGACCTTGTTTTATTAACACAATGGGACCATCTCATTTTTAACCTTCCATTTTTCTCCCCTGTGAATGAGGAAAGTGTTTTACCCTCTTTATAGCTGCAAGATCCTCTCAGTTTTCTGAAAAGAGGCCTGGGATTCAAAGCTTCCTTTTTAAAATATAACTTGTTCACAATATGTGAAGATTTATATGTACTTCTAAGAGGAAATAACTAGAGAAAAACTTCCATTATGTTCACTAGCATGCTCATGAAAGTAAAGACTTTTAAACAGATATAAAAGCAACCCCAACCATACCAAACAACACTAGCATACAAAGGACTTTAAAAGGGAAGAAGGAACACTCTACCACTTTGGCTCAGATACTGTACTATCTTAAAGTTTTAGCCTTTGGGATTATTTTTCTTGAATTAATTTGACTACTTAGCTCTGCATATTTTAGCACAAGCATTACATTGTGTGTAAATATTCTCTAACATAATATTTCTGGCTCAAGTTAAGCAACTGGTCTGAAAAAAGAAACTTCTGTTCCACCTTATAAAGACATGTGATTTTCCCCTATTCTATGCTACAAGTAATGGAACAGACAATGTTGCTTTCTGTCTTGCTTTGGGTTTCTGATTTACTGCTCTAAGTAACACTGGTATTGCTTCTAAGAACCACACATTGGTTTAGGGTTTGCTAAGTGTGTAAAATTGTTTCCCATCTCTTAATTCAGAAGGCATGAAGAGTATAATTAACATCCATTAAAGGACTAATAAGCTGCTGGAGCAAACTCCTAATTGAAATTTCCTTAGAAAGCTATTAAATACTGCTAAGGAAAGCCTTTCAGTGAAAAAGCTCTCAGTGAAGAAGATTATCATGTGATGAGATCCACAAATATTAATAATAAACTGGCTCATATAACCCCCTGCCTAACGCACAGTTTTATCATATTTGGAATCATAATGCCCTGTGTTAGTGTCCCTCACAAACGTTGGGGTGCCTAGATAATGCCTCTAAACATTCCAAATAATCACTTTGAAGCTCTAGGAAACAATTCTAGTCTTTTCGAACTCCTGACCTTGAGTGATCCTCCTGCCTCGGCCTCCCAGAATGTTAGGATTACAGGTGTGATCCACTGCGCCTGGCCTCTAGTCTTTTTATTGGTAAGGTAGAATGTTTCAAAGTTGATGTGGTGGGTTAATTCTGCAACCACTAAGTTACTGTATCTGAGCATGTATTAACAGTAATAGAGATATGGTGCTGCCCATGTTCTTCTCAGGAGACCAGATGAGAGCCTTTTTCTCCCAAAATGGCTGTATCTACAGTTTTTTTGTTTCTACTGTAAAACTTCACCTTTATGTTCACAACGAAAGGTAAATAGGTCAAAGTTACTCTGTTTCTATTGATTACTGATTTATCTGGTGTAAAGAATTTTTCTTCCTGTAAAGAGATGCATTTCAAATAGATTTGTCTAATTAATTTAGCAAATAAAAGTCTCCAAAGAGTATGCATTATTAATGCTAATATAACCATTTTCTTACTTCTGAATACAACATTTTTAATGGAAGGACATTTTATAAAAGTAAATCTAAAAAATGGATACAAACAGGAAACAGCAGTAGTTGCAGTTTTCAGTGGAGCAACCTACAGTTTCTTCAGTTTATTTAATCAGCTATTGAAGACCCCTAATCACAGCACAATCTGTTCTAAGTGTTTCAGGTAGAAAAATTATCTTACTTGTCATGACTTTCTCCTTAATCTACTGTGAAAACATTCTTAGAGGTTTTAAAATAAACCCATAGTCAATGCTGACAAATGTTATAATTCTTATGCAGAGGTATGATAGCATCAGACTCTCTTATGGAGCATTTTAGAAATCTAGGTGGCTAAGCTCCACCACAGGAGACTCTAATAAATCAAGATCTCAAAGGCAGTAGCTTGAAAATGTATAATAAAACAAACCAGAAAAAACAAACCAAAAACTTGCTGTCTAGTTGAAATGGTTCTTAGGAAAACAAATTAAAACCACAAGATAGCACTAGACATCCACTAGAATGGCTAAAATTAAAGAGTGACAATATCAAACACTGGTGAGAATGTAGAGTAACTGCAACTCTCATACAATGCGTGCAGAAAAACAATCAGTACAACAACTTCAGAAAACTACAGCTACTAACTCTACTAAGGCTAAACATACATATTTCTTTAACATAGCAATGCCACTTATGGGTATACACTCAAAAGAACTAAGTTTTTATGTCCATCAAAAGACACATAAGGAATGTACTCTGCAGCTTTATTTGGATTAACTAAAAACTGGAAACAACTCAAATGTCCATCAGTACTCAAATAGATCCACATATTCACACAATGGAATCCTACAAGGATGAAGCATTCCTGTTACTTGCTACATAAATCTCACAGAAGCCAGCCAAGCCCATATGACCCCTCACCTAACGTAGGGTTTTATCCTATTTGGAACCATGATGCTCTGGTGTCAGTGTCCCTCACAAAAGTTGGGGTGCCTAGATAATGCCTCTAAACATTCAAAATATTATATTTTTTAAATAACAAATGGCACAAGAGTTTAAGCCCTAGGAAACAATTAATATCGGAAAAATGAAGCCAGACTCAATGAAGTTCTCTTACATGAAG